CATATAGAGCACAGTTTGGGCTACTGGCAGAGATGAACGGATGGACAGAGGAGAAGAAAGCAGTATATCTGGCAACGAGCTTGAAGGGACAACCACAGGAAATACTTGGACAGTTGTCAGCAGATGATAGGCACAACTATAGAGCACTGGTGTTGGCTCTAGAACTCAGGTACGGAACCCAAAATCAGTTAGAAGTCTACAGGGCTAGGTTCAGGAGAGTCTGCGCTAAAGGGGAGAGCTGGCACAGGACTTAGAAAGCATGGCACATAAGACCTACCCAACTGCACCACCCGATCTCCTCAAGTTGTTGCTGAGGGATCAGTTCGTAGATGCCTTGGACAGTCCACAGCTTAAGATACAAGTGAAGCAAGCACACCCCTCTACCATGCAGGATGCAATGGCCAGAGCTCTCGAATTTGAATCCTACGTTAAGTCCAGCACAGAGGTACCGAGGTTGGTACAGTCATCTGGATTCAAGGTCAGCTTTCAGAGAGGTTTGAGGGACTTTGCTGGCACTGTAATAAACCTGGGCACAAGAGAGCTCAATGATGGAAACTTCAACACAGGGGAGATGCCACAGCAGGAAAGGCTGGTATCCAGAAATGTTGTTGGAACTGTGGAAAGCACGGACATTTGAGGAGCCAGTGTAGGAAGAATATTACCAACAAGTCTGCCTCAAGGAGACCAGTAGTGGTTGGTGTTCAGCGACGCCCACCAACCCCCATCATGAAAGTCCCAACAGCTAGGTGTAAAATGCCAAGCACACACACTGTCTATGTGACAAGAAAGCTGGATGGCCAAAGGTGCAACTTTGTCATAGACTCTGTATCTCAGCAAACCCTTGTGAGCATCAAGGTGTTAGATCATGAAGGAGTACCAGAAGCCATACAGAAGCTTTATGGTGTGACAGGACATTCTACAAGATTGTGGGGACCAGTGTGGGTAACTATTGAGCTCATGTGCATAAAGGACAAAGAGAAAGTATAATTGACTGACATTGAAGACGAACGCATATTAGGATTGAACTATCTACTACCAAGGAAGTTTGTAACTAATTTTGATAAAATGACGT